CCACGAAGTCTCACCCCATGGACCTTAAGATGACTAACGACCTCCTTAATCGAAATGTTCTTGAGGTCGCCGAACTACTCGATGGAGGTAACAATCTACATGAATCTTAAGGAAACAGCTCGAAGGAACTTCTTAATGACGGAGATCTCCTCCATCACGTCGCCTAATGAATGAATGTCGTTGATGATCGTTGTCTATTGACTCACCGTTCTTAGATAGCCACAAACTCACTCTTCAAGGTTTGCACCTTTACTTTCTTGACACATTCCACACCCACATGCATTGTTTGCAGCATCTCTCATGCTGCCTTCGCTAAGTCCTTCTTTCCCAACATGAGAAGAACGTCCTTCTTTCGCTGAGTCCTTCCCCAGCAAGAGCCATCTTGTCCTTACCTCTGTTCGGTTAGGAAGCCTGATGCTTATTTATAGCTTAGTCAATGATTATACATAGTAAAGCTATATTTGGTAAATGACATATAAAGTAAATTGTCATAAATAGTAAATAGCTATGTATAGTAAAAAGCTATATATGATATATAGTTATATATAGTAGATAGTTATATCTAGTAAAGCTATATATAGTAAGCTAAACCATATATGTATCCGCTCAAGCAGAGCTTTGAAAATGTACTTTCTGTATTCTCTATATTCTCTCTAACTGTACATACGTGAGGTCATCAATACAAATCTTGTAGCCAATATTCTCCTTCCATTTTCTCTATCATATTCTCTGTGTTCATCTAGATCGAGTGTGTACGTTGTTGTGCGATCCTAACAACTGGTATCAGAGCTAGGCGGAAGTCACCACGATCTGTGAGATGAAAAGTTTAAAGATTGGAATTGAGAAGTACGATGGATCCGATTTTGGTTTCTGGAAGATGCAGATTGAAGATTATCTGTATCAGAAAGGTCTTCACGAACCCCTGTTGGGGGTGATGCCGGATACCATGACCACGGAACAGTGGAAGCTCAAGGATCGACAAGCCTTGGGGTTGATCCGGTTGACGCTATCCAGAAATGTAGCATTCAACATCATTAAGGAGAAAACAACGTCGGATCTGTTGAAGGCACTGTCGAATATGTATGAAAAACTTCGGCTATGAATAAGGTGTATTTGATGCGAAGATTGTTCAAAATACAGATGTCTGAAGGTGGATCTGTTGTTGATCATATAAATGAATTCAATATGATCGCAAGTCAACTGACTTCAGTGGAAATTAATTTCGAGGATGAAATTAAAGCATTGATTTTGATGTCATCTTTACCCAAGTCATGGGATACTATTGTTACTGCAATCAAAAGTTTCCGAGGATCTGATAAACTAAAGTTTGATGAAATTTGGGATGTAGTTCTCAGCGAAAGTATTCGCAAACGAGAAATTGAAAATTCATCTGGTAGTGCTCTCAGTGTTGACCAATGGGAAGAAGTAAACCGAAGGACCCAAACAAAGGGTGATCAAAATCAAAGAACTAAGAAAAATCTCCAAATAGACCAAAAGTAACATGTTGGAATTGTGGAGAAAATTGTCACTTTCAGACAGATTGTACAAGACCAAAGAGGAAGCAGAATCACAAAACTGGAGATGATGATTCTATAAATTTAGCAGAAGACATTGGGGATGCTCTAATCCTCAGCGTGGACAGTTCGATTGAATCCTAGATTTTGGATTCAGGTGCATCTTTTCATTCGTCTCCAAATAAAGAGTTGTTCCGGAATTTTAAGTCCGAAAATTTCGAGAAGGTGTATCTTGCCAACAACAAAGATTTGGAGATTAAAGGAAAAAAAGATGTCTGCATAAAAACTCCGGCAGAAAATCAATGAACATTAAAAGATGTCAGATATATTCCTAGTCTCAAGAAAAACTTGATCTCTATTGGTCAGTTGGACAGCGCATGTTATGTAACAGAGTTAGGGAAGAGTTCGTGGAAGATTATTTAGGGTGCTATGGTGGTAGCACGTGACACAAAATCTGGAACCTTATACACCACTACAGGGTGTATGAACATAGCTGCTGTTGCTGAGAGTGCTTCAAATTCTAGTCTATGACACAATAGACTTGGAGATATGAACGTGAAAAGAATGAAGATGCTGGATGTGAAAGGAGTTTTAGAAGGTCTGAAATCTGTTGATGTGGGTCGTTGTGAGAACTACGCTATAAGCAAGCAGAAACGAGTTAGCTTCACAAGGACTGTCAGAGAATTGAAGAAAATGCGGTTGGAAATGATCCATACAGTCGTGGAGCAAAATTACAAAACCATAAAGCAAGTGGGAGTTGAACTTGAGTTGCAGGGAAACTCACCTAGTGATGTTGTAGCAGATACTCATGAAACTCTTGAGATTACTACTAAGGAATCAGATGTGGAGCAAGGTTCTAAGACAACGAAGCAAGTGGGAGTTGAGCTTGAGTTGTAGGAAAACTCACCTAGTGATGTTGTAGCAGATACTCATGAAACTCTTGAGATTACTGTCGAGGAACCAGATGTGGAGCAAGATTCTAAGACAACGAAGCAAGTGGGAATTGAGGTTGAGTTGCGGAAAAAAACCACCTAGTGATGTTGTAGCAGATACTCAAGAAACTCCTGAGACTATTGTAGAGGAACCAGAGGTCGAGCAAGTGATACCTGAACCGGTGTTGAGTAGATCATCCAATACTATAAGAGTACCAGATATGTATGTATCTTCATTACACTATTTGTTGCTGATGAAAGGGAACCAGAGCCCTTTGATGAGGCCCTACAGTTGGAGGATACAACCAAGTGAGAGCAAGCCATGAATGATGGGATGTCTAGGCTTCAAAAATGCGTTGTACTGAGGCTGAGTACATGGCAATAAGTGAAGCTGAAAAGATGACGATGTGGATGACTGACTATCTGGAAGAATTGGGCAAGAAGCAGCACGAAAATATTCTTTATAGAGATAGTTAGAGTGCCATACAGTTGGTGAGGAACCCAGTCTATCATTTAAAGACAAAACAAAGAAGACGATACCATTTCACTCACAGGTTAGTGGAAGATGGTGATGTGTTTGGAGAAGATAGAGGATGCAAAAAATCCAGCAAACATGTTTACAAAATGTGTTGATGTTGGAATATTGAGGTTGTGCAAAGCCTCAATTGGTATAGTGCAGTGAAGATACTCATGATCATTTGAGAATGAAATTCTTGGTTGACTGGATCAGTCTACAAGTCGGAGAATTGTTAGGTTATGGAGCCTGATGCTTATTTATAGCTTAGTTAATGGTTATACATAGTAAAACTATATTTGGTAAATAACATATAAAGTAAATTGTCATAAATAGTAAATAGTTGTATGTAGTAAAAAGCTATATCTGGTAAAGCTATATATGGTACATAGTTATATATAATAGATAGTTATATCTGGTAAAACTATATATAGTAAGCTAAACGATATATGTATCCACTCAGGCATAGCTTTGAAAATGTATTTTCTGTACTTTATATTCTCTCTTACTGTACATACGTGAAGTCATCAATACAAATTCTGTAGCCAATATTCTCCTTCCATTTTCTCTATCCTATTCTTTGTGTTCATCTAGATCGAGTGTATACGTTGTTGAGTGATCCTAACAACCTCCTTAACATCACCATACTCGATGGCGTCCCACATTCCCTGTGCCTGTAAGTTAACATGCATCTTTATCGACCATGCTGCGTAGTTACTCTTCATGAGTAACGGGTACCAGAGCGTTACACTCGCCTCCCTTCCACTCTTTATCATTGTCACTTCTCCTCAGGTGACTTTGTATGGTGATGACATTGTTTCGGCATCCTAACTCTAATACCAATTGTTGAAAATGACTCACGATCGAAATATGTCGAAACAAATAGCTAAAGTAGGAAGAACAACTCGAGGCGAGAGAGCTTTTGAAATAAGTAACCTTAAGCACTTATGCTTTTCAATTCTCTATGTTGTTGTGAAAATAACATATATATCATGAGTATTTACGCTAGAGAAAACACAACTAGTTTTCTAAACTTTCTTCTCAAATTAATCAACTACTAATAATTCCAACAAAAAAAACTAACTATTTCTCTAAACATATTCAAGTCAATAACAACTAAACAATTATCCTAAAATTGTTCTTGGTAATAACTTCTTTTTGCTAAGTCAAGCTTATTAACTCATAAAGATCTCTTGTAAACCACATCGCATCTCATCGTCATCTCAGTTTCCAACAACACGACCCATGCATCGTGATGTCATCACATGTCTCAGGACACCTCGTCCCTCTTGGCTTGCTTGGACACATCCATTGGGAATTGACCCATGTTTTGATTATCTCATTGGGACACCTCAAACATCCATCCATTTGGGTTCTCATCGAGTAGACTTTCTTTTGCGAGCAGTCATACGCATGCATCATTCTTCGAGTATCCAATTGACACCAAATTTGACGAGCTTTCATCTTTGAGGTTATTGCCAGGGGCCTTACCCAGCCCTCTTCGAGCATATCTTCAACCCTCGTGTCACATCGTTCTCTCGAACCTTGCGTATGCCTCGACTTGGCTTAAGTGCACACTCTTGGTGTGTTGGATGATGCACCATCCTCCTCGGTCACATCAAGACACTTCTCAATCATGACCTTCACGTGGCTGGATGGGCGCCACTTAAGGGTCGCCCCTCGTCTCTCTTGCATGTGGGGGCACAAACTACTTTCACTTAATGAGGTTATGACACAGCTTACATGCTCTGCGTGAAGCCAACCAAGGAACTCGTGCTACGACCCATGTTTTCCTTCTCTCTTTTCTTAGTTTGACCATCGTTTTTTTAGTCTTTTTTGTTTATACGTATGATCCAAGCAACGTAAACTTCATGTTCTTCTACATGGACACAACTTACATCCCAATAAGTACCCAAAAAAACATGCAAGTTGAAGAGATTCATGTTTTTGATAACTTAAACATGTTAAAACACTTCGTATCCAACTTCTCCAAGTTGAAAGATTTCTAGAGATAGCCAAACATACTCAATATGGAAACTTCCCAACATATCAACAAATACAATACATATTTTTGGTGCATATTCTTCTAAAACAAATAAAATCCACGAAATACATTGCAAAGTATCACCATAATACTAGTGGATACATAAGTACATTATTCTTCTATTATTCTCATGTTCTTGAAACCACACATCGAGTCGATAGCAATTGTTATAGACATGATCAACGCAATTTTTTCTCTTTTGGTGCCTCGCACTCCTCAACGAGTGCATGATGGATCCTCAACCCTCCTTTCCATCTGTTGCTCCAAACTTCATACATACCAAAGTAGAGAATGGGATCCTCAGCGGATTTGGCAACTTCAATTTTTAATTCATTCTGGGGAATGTTAAATCTTTCGTCTGGATTTTTATTACGAAGATTCAGTTTCTTGAAACTGAAACGCCCCTTTTTCCCAATCTTAGCCATTATGTAAATATTAGACTCATCCCATCCAAAAGCATTGGGTCGTAGTGTCACATTGAAACTCACTTTGAACCATTTCCCAACCTCAACTTTTTCCGATGTTGAACCAGTTACTTCTAGCCAATTTACTTGTTTTAGTTCTGCAAAACTGTCTTCGTTCTCCCTACAAAATCACAATAACAACAAATTATGAACACGATTGAAAGAAACAAAGGAATTTGGATTTGGAACCTGTATCCTTTGTAACATAACCACGTTACTTATTTGTCGATTCTCGAATGAAAACTATAATCTCCACAAATTAACACATGTCCTTGTCCTCAGTCACATGTTTCATAGGAAAATACGTAGGTCATCCAACTTAGAATTGGTCAAAACAAATCAAGTTAACTTTAGAGTTTTTATAATTGTGAAATGCCACGTAGGTTGGGGAGGAGAACTAAACCCTCTTAGAGTGGATTGTGAGATCCCGCATCGTTAAGAAGGAAAACGAAACATCCTTTATATGGGTATGGAAACTTTTCCCTCGCAGACTCGTTTTAAAAACGAGGAAGCCCGAAAGGGAAAGCCCAAAAACGACAATATCAACTAGCAATGGATTTGGGTCATTACAATAATTGAGCTATCAAAAAAAAGAAAGTGAACCTTGTTGGTATAGATAATTACTTGAATTATTTTAATCTCGGTTCAACAATCTTACTCTTAGATCACTCTCATTTGATGTCCGTTCATCTATGTACTCTTCCTTACATCTGAAAACTTTCTTTCTTCTACTATTACATGGAACAATTGGCTTAAAAGAGCAACTCCATTAGATGGCTCTTCCCAAAGGAAACTTGTAAGAAGAGGAAAAGATCCACAAGAACGTAGCATATATATCACTTAGCTTTTAGATCAAACTCTAAGTATTGAAAGGATACTCTCCATTCTATCTCTCAAATTCCTAGATACCCACTATATACAAAACAGGCTATGTAACAAAATATATATATATATATATATATATATATATATATATATATGCGAAACCACTTTAGAAAGAGTAAAGCCAAACACGAAAAAAGTATTAAAGATATTTAATCTTGAATTATGAATTACCATATATATATATATCATATTTGACTGTTTGTCTTTAGTATAGACAAATATTTTGTAGGATAGACTATATTTAACTTATACTTTGTATGATGGACTATATTTAACCTTTTATATCAGTTTACCATAATTACTATATTTGACTATTTATTAAAGTCAAATATATATAGATAGTTGCTACCACTTATGATAGTATCATATTTACCGTTTTATTATAGACAAATATGTGAATCCATTTGTTTTTCTTTCCATATGCTTTATAATTTATTTGATTCAATAAAGGATTATAGATAGGGAATTTTCGCCCTCTCGGTAGATTTTAGCAAACATTCTCATGAAGGATAGTGATTATCAAAGAAAACTTTTTTTTTTTCCTTTTCGTTTTTTCTACAACGAAATCTATAAAATCAGAGTTAACAAAATAAATTTCAGTTTTTAAATATAATAGATTAAACTTCATAAAAAAAAACATTAAAAAAAAAAAGTTGCAGCTTAGAGCTTACTTGTCCGAAAACATCCAATAACGATCGTCGTTGCCCCATGTAATATTTAGTCCCCTTGGATATATTTTGACCTCTTTCTGTAAAATTGAGAACCATCAAATAACGAAAAAAAATAGAATTTTAGAATTTGGCTAATCATTTAAATATTTTATTAAACTAAAAATTTCAACAAGAAACTTAGTTGTTTTCTAACAATTTAATCAAAATCGGTAAAATTTAGTCCATGAACTTTCAAATTATGGGTACCATACGAACCTTTCCGTTCCCGTCCTTTTTTATGTACTTTGTATCAGCCCGATAGTGAGGGTTGGAACACTCGAAACCATCTGTATTACTATTCATGGACATAAAAGGAAACAAAGAAAGAAAGAAAGGTTAATGAGCTCTCCAGCTTCAGCTCACTCTGATGATCAAAGCCTTTGCTTTTCTTTTGTGTTCTTCGAAGCCTTGTTGATAGTAATGTAAGGAAGAGCCAAAGGGTTTTTTATAGAAGACGAGTAGATGCTAATGGGAGGAAGCATCGTATAATACTTAATGGTAAGTAAATGGAGAATCCAATTCTTTTGGATTGGATTGTATGTTCCTTTTTTGCTTCTTTTTGGGTTTCTTTTTCTTATCTTTTTGGAATAAGATAGTCGTGTTAGTTGGAAAGGAATCGAGGAATAGATGTGTAATTCATTATGATTGATGAAATACTTGTGTGGAAAGTTGATAGGATTTATGGAATTGATTGAAGTCAAAAGTATTTTGATTTTTTTTTTTTTGTTTATATGTTGTTTAAAGATTGAAATATGTTGGGACATGAATTGAGAAAATATTATTACTACATGCACATCATCGACGTTCCAAACAAATTCATGCAAAACTAATTAACATGTAAAAACGGACTAATGCTCTAGAACGATTCTCTTTGTGACTGTCGAGCTCTCGAATGCCCTCCACCTTGAACGGCTCCTGCGAGTATAAAAATAATCAATAAGCAACTTACTTGTAGGCTCTCATCGCATTCTTAACTTAGTTGGTATCCATAGGTTTACTTTAGCGTTAAGAAGTTCGGGCCTAGTCTCTACTGCTATTTGAGCATTTGGGAGGTCTAAAAGTTTTGAGTAGATCTCTATTTTGAATCTTACCCCTATGGGTTTGTATAGGCTTTCTAACCTTTTGATTCTTTGACTTAGGTAGCTTGCTTTGATTATGAAGTGAATTACTAGTATCTTGGGTTGAAGCGCTACATCATAATCATCTAGTGGGACAATATGGTGTTTGCTATCTAGCCTAAACAGCATCCATGAGGGGTTAGCTGGCAAACTCTCCCACATAACCATACAGTCACCCTAGTTTGGGGAAACGACCCCGTATATTGGCCAACTATTGAGTCTTATTGCATGATACCACATTCCCTCCCAAGATAGGATTTTACTGCACATTTGCCCCATTCAAGAGTCAATTGGTCATTTCCTCTAGGTAAGGGCACCTAGTCGCCTCGACGCATTGCACTATTTGGCTTAGGCCTGGCTCGATGGTACCTATACTACTATTTCTTAGTAGGGCGCTACAAGCACTAAAGGCATACCGGAGGAGTAGAAGGTAGAGACTCTGATGATGTTGTCATAATGCTAACTACTTGGTGAGTTACCTTAGTCATTCCTAAATGTCGTGGAGGTCTATTAGGTTCTTAGCAGCGTCTAGGCAGTTTAAATCCGATCTCATGTTTCTAGGATGCTCGAGGTTAACCCCTCAGAACTAATACAATCACTAGGTGCACATAAATCTAGAACTCTGATCAGTGCTAACGATCCTAAGGTGCCCAGTTAACTGGAAATGTAGGGACCTATGTCAATGTGTAAACCACTCGAAGTGTAGCACCCTAGTCTTAACTTGGTTCACATATGCATACTTTGTTTTGGAATATTTATATGGACCACCTAAAGCATGAGAAACATAATCTATACATTACCTTGGTCATCTCTAGGAGCGGAGGAGGTTTACTCAATTCTTAGGGTGGCTAAGTGGCTTAATACGAACTTCCGACTCAAGGGTACTGTTCCAACTCCTCGAGTGTTTCTTAGTCTGAAGGCACTAGAGTTAACCCTCTAATCATTGTTCACGATCCCAAGGGGCTTAGTCTACTAGAGGCGTCTTGACCTAGGTCATCATCTAGTCGTTGTAACTCTAGCGCCCTAATTCTAGCTCTATGTAGATAAACACGCTTTATAGAGAGAACACACCATCAATCAACTGAAGCTAAACATATTATATTATGCATTAGTACAAGCTCTACAGGGAGATAACATCCATCAATCGTCAGGACATAGGTCACAATATCTCATCCTTCATTCTAGCATAGTAGTAAGCATTAAAATCGGGATGCATCATAAATTCTCATCCTAGGAGTATTCCAATAAATTTTTATAAATACTTGCATTCTCATCCAAACTTTCCCTTATGAAGTCCTAAACATGCATATTCTAACCACCTAAGGTAATATATGCTCGCATGTTAGCACATCCTAAGGGTACTTCAGTAATTTTTTATAATATACGGGCATTCTCATCCAAAAATTCACGTGTGGTCCTAAACATGCATATTTTAACCACATAAGGTAAGATATGCTTGCATGTTAGCATGTTCTAATTATCCCTACAAGTGTTACTTGAGAAAAATTAGATAGGCTACTTTCATGGATGACATTTGCATGATAGGGTTAGTATTGAAATCAAGATCGAAAAACATTTGAATGCACTCATTGCATAACACATTGTGAGTACTCATTGATGTGTAGAGATTAAGTAGAAGCGAAAGCAAGAGGTTTGGGTCACGGGTTTCAGATCAAATTGCGGGTCGTGGATTGGTTCGAAGGCGAAATACGGGTTGGGTCGGGTCACTCCACAGATATTTGCATGCCAACCAAACTTCAATACGCGTCTCTCTCTCAGCAAAATGCAGTTCCTCTGCCTTTACTCAACACGTTGTAGTGTCCGTGCCGGCCAACATTCTGCAATTCACCATCCAACTTGTCGTATGCACATTGGTTTCATCCATCATTTTCTTTCCAAATTTCTTAGAATATCGTATTCAACCTATTTTCTTTTGAGTTTGTATCTTTTTGTGTGTAGCTCAAATCATCCCAAAATTGTAGAGGTTTAATCTAAATTTCAAACAAAAGTATTCCCATTCAATTTTATTAATTGTGGAGAGAGATAAATGAGTCCAAAATAGGTTTAGAATTTAAGAAGTCAACATTCTTGAGACCCATCAGAACTCAACCTTTCGAGTTCTTATTCAGATCATCCCTTTCTTCATAGAAGTTGTGTGAAATCCTCTCACTATCAACATATTAAAAATTAAGTACCTAAATCCAAGAAAATCTCTAAAGTGTGGATAAAAATTGGAACAAAAAACTTTAAAACCTTACCTCCGGTTCCAGGATAGATTTAAATGATTCGAATACCTAGATTGGTTCTCCCAAAGTCACCGAGCATTGTGAAGGATTTTTTTTTTTGGGGGGCTAAATTCGGATTCCAAGTCATTGTTTGGAAGGGATTTTAGATTCTCTATCATATCTTCTCTCTCAAAGCCATACTACTTTTCCTATTTCTTTTCTTTTCATTTCCCTTTTTTCCCATTTTCTTTTCCCTTTCCAATTCAGATTAGGCCTTTAATAGAATCCTCTATCATCAAATTGACAATTTTGCCCCTTTGGTTGACATGGACAGTTTTTTCTTCAATCTCATTATTTTCTTTTACATTATTTTTGGATTATTATGACTTTTATAAGCAATTTTCTCGTCTTGAAATTCAATCTCTAAAACTCTCAATCAAATGATAGAATTTTTAATCTAAAAAGAAAAATCGAAAAATTAATTTTTGTTAGGGTTCGTATGATAAAATTTCAAACATTTAATTGGAATTCCGAGAAAACTTCAAACTATAAATCATTAAGTTCAATCTTAAAAAACAAAGACCACAAACATTTAAAATGCAAAAACTAAACTTTGTCACGGTTGTCCTAGAGTGTCCATAGCCATTATTGTCCGTGGTCGTGTAGTGTCTTTACACCTACCTAAAAAGATTGAGTATTTAAAAATGTCGTAAGTGATTTTAGGGTTGAAAAACACAAACACAAACAATATGTTTGTGACCGTCATGACTTGGTGAGACTTAAATTTCATTACTAGCATTTGACTATGCTTGCTAATTTGAGTCAAGCCAGTTTTAGATTAATGGATTGGACTGTGCGTCGACTAGAAGTCGAGCGCAAATTTTGGATTGGGTTCATGTTAGGTTCGGCTAACTCAGGATGCGTATCACTTTCGGCCGAATGTGCTTCACTGTTCCATGCTTGATGTGTGTCCTTTTCTACACAAGCCACGTTCCACCTCTCGTTTGTCGACGCATGACATCAGAAACCTCACCTACATTTTAATTCTCGAATATAATGAGTTTTCTAATTTCCAACCTATATTCTTTGGGATTTCTTAATGATCGATCATATATATTAATAAACTTGTTTAAACTTTGGAATTTACGTGATCTTGCCAAAACTAAAAGGCTTCTTAAAAGCTCCAATTTTCACCTTGATTCCTGACCAAACTTCAATAGAGATCTATGAAGAACTTTTGTTAGAACAACATGTTTAAATTTCAAGTTCTAACTCTCAAGAATACCTTCGAATTTTCGGAAAAATTTAATCTAAAAACTCACAAGATGTACCTTCGTTTTCTTTTTAAGTTCTTGATGAAAACGAATGTTTCAACATTCAAACTTCTTCTCTCATACTGAATTTGAACAAATCTCTTTTCTTTTCGTGTGATCTTCTTTCTTCTCCTTTTTGTTGGTCTCACCAAGGTCTCTCGGACCCAGGATTGTCAAAGGGTAAAAATTACCATTTTACTCCTCGGTTGACTTTGATCCAAACTTTCTAATTTTTTTTCCTAGATTTCGAAAGGTTTTCCGAGCATTTTTCACCTCTAACCCCAATTCAGCCTCTAAGTCCCTCCATAAAATTTACTTAACAAGTTAATTGAGTGTCTGAATTTCTGAATGAATAATAATAATAATAATAAATATTTGCAGTTTGGCAACATGCATCAAGAATCTCTCATTCTTTTCAACGAAATTCTTTGAAAAATATACCCAGAAAAAAAAAAACAAAAAATAAATAAATAAAAGAGAGAACAAATATTGAGAAGAATCCAAGCAAAGGATATTGGTTGAAGAACCAAAAAGCCTCCTCTTTACACTGCTTGGTTGTGGTTGCAATGAGGAGAAGGAATGCAAATTTGTCTTATATTCTAACACTTTTCCTCTCTAGTACCTATCTTATTGTTGTATATCAAATTTCATAGGAAGAGAGTCTGGGACGTTTTCTTAGATTATGCTAAAAATTACCATGTTTAGATAAGATAGAAGCTATCAATTAAATCCTAAGAGAAAATATACTATTAATAAATGTTTCCAAAATATATTTTTAGAC